TTTCTATACAAATATGAAAAACATGAAATGGGTTAACATGAAAGAAATTGTACTTTTGTAAATAAGTGTTTTTTTTTCTTTACCTAGCACTTAAATAAATTAAAAATACATCACAGTCAACATAAAATGTAACACATATATGTATACATGAATTAAAAAAATTACTATTTCTTAATGTTAACACATACAATTTTACGAATATACACATTTTTTGTAGGAGTGATGGTAAAATAAACTTTAAGGTTGATTGAGAAGCTAAACAGTTTAATATTTTAGTCAGTGGTTTATTGAGTGAAATAAAATGCTCATTGATTGGTCAAAAACATTAATTTATGTAAGTTATTCTGTGTTTATCATCCCAACAATTTTCAGTCAGGTCATCTGGACTGTTTCTTTTTTCCTTCCAGATGACCTGACTGAAAATTGTTGGATTGTATACCTGGATTATTGAGCATGAACTTTTTTGATATATGCATAACATTTTAAACCTTTTAGGTTGCACAGTCAACGTAAATAGGTCAGAAACTTCACTTTCCTGAAAAGTGCATTCCCTCATCTTCAACATATGTAGCAGAAAACATGAGATACAAAAATGTAGTTTGATCTTATTTGAACTCACAGCTGGAAGAAAGCATTAAAATCTCTTGAGAGATTAGGTCCTGAGAGACATGCTGTATGTTGGGACTGAGGGCTTTTTCCTAATAACCTTTTCTTGGATAAAAAGAAAAATAATCCTTTAAAGAAATGCAGCTTTCAGAGCACAACACTTCTGTTCCTTGCCATTTTGGTGTTTTTCTTGACTTACGAAGCAGAATCTTGCACACTGAGTGTTTGTGAAGAAAAGTAAAACACAAGGAGCTCGAGTTAAACTTAACATTTATTCAAACAAACAAAAAGCTGACGTGGCAGCGAAAACTACAAAATATAAAGGTCAAGGAAACACGGAGAAGATCTTGAGTATGCGCATAAAGCACAAACAAAGCTTAGACTAATAGACTGGGAATAATGAGAAGGTGGGAGACATCTTGCTTGATGACAACAGGGAACAGGTGTAAGTGGGCGGGGCAGAATGAGGGAGTGCCTGGAAAAATACAGACTGAGCGAAACTGGCTTGGAATGGCAGGAAACACAGAAGGCAATGGAACAACCTGAACTCAAAGAAAGCACAGAAACTAATTGTTGAAAATTAACTTAAAAACAAACTCAACACGTGGGTTTTCTCCGGGTGCTCCGGTTTCCTCCCACAGACCAAAAACATGCATGTTAGGCTGACTGGTAACTCTAAATTGTCCCTAGGTGTGAGTGAGAGAGTGAATGGTTGTTTGTCTCGTTTGTCTCTATGTGGCCCTGTGATGGAGTGGCGACCTGTCCAGGGTGTACCCCGCCCCTCGCACAGTGATTGCTGGACATGGGCACCAGCGACCCCCGTGACCCAAAATGGAATAAACGGGTAAAGAAAATGGATGGACAAACTCAACACATTAAAACAAACACAGAAATGTACAAATCGCGACATTTAGTGAATCTTTAAAAGTAGCCAATAGCTCTCATGTTCATCATCATACATATCACATAAAAAGCTGCAGCAGTTCAGCCATTCACTTATATGACAACAGCCCACATTCTTTCAGAAACTGTCCATCCATCCATCCATGCATCCATCCATGCATCCATCCATCCATCCATGCATCCATCCATCCATCCATGCATCCATCCATCCATCCATCCATCCATCCATCATCCTCCGCTTGTTCTCAAGTTTGGTCTCAGGGGCAGCAGCTTGATCAGGGAGGTCCAGACATCTCTTTCCACAGCCGCCTCTTCCAGCTCTTCTGGGAGGACCCCAAGGCGTTTCCAGTCCAAACAAGAGACGTAGTCTCTCCATTGTGTCCTGGGTCTTCCCCGAGGTCTTCCAGTTGGACATGCCCAAAGCACCTCACTAGGGAGGCCCCCAGGAAGCATCCAGATGCCTGAACCACCTCATCTGGCTCCTTTTGATGTGGAGGCGCAGTGGTTCTACTCTGAGTTTCTTCTGGATAATTGACATTCTCACCTTGTCTCTAAGGGAAAGTCCAGCTACCCTGCAGAGGAAACATTTAAACCACCTGTATCTGCAGTCTCATTCTTTTGGTCACTACCCAGAGCTTGTGACCATAGAAGAGAGTAGGAACAGACCGACCGAATAACAGAGAGGTTTGCCTTACGGCTCAACTCCCTCTTCACTACAACGGACCAGCACAGAGTCCGCAATACTGCAGATGCTGCACCAATCCATCTGTCAATCTCACGCTCCATTCTTCCCTCACTTGTGAACAAAACCCCAAGATACTTGAACTGCTTCACGTGATGCAGAACCTCACCCTCGACCCCAAGAGATCATTCCACCCCTTTTCCAACTGAGGACCATGGCCTCAGATTTGGAGATGCTGATTCTCATCCCAGCTGCTTCACACTCTGCTGCTAACTTCAGTGAGTGCTGAAGATCACAGCACAATGGGACCACATCATCTGCAAAGAGCAAAAATGGAATCCTGAGGCCACTGAACTGGAATCCCCCCACCCCCAGCTGCACCGAGAAAATCTGTCCATAAAAGTTATGAACAGAATCGTGACAACAGGCAGCCCAGGTGGAGTCCAACTCTCTGAAACCAAAGGTTTCTGAATCCAGGTCTCAGTGTGGAGATTTTCAGTGGAAACCCCCTCGAAGGTGTGAAATGCATCGCAAATGTGAAGTGGCACATGCGCACTAACGGCGGCTGCGGTCCAAAGTTATTCTGCACTAACAACAGTTATAATAAACGGCAGAGAACAGAGAGTTTTTGTGCTGCTCACATGCTTTGTCAGCATGTAGGAACAAAAGTAATAAAAACCAGGGTCCAAAGAGACGTTGGTGTATTCACCATTTTGTAACTGAGATCATGCAGATGCAACGAATGCAGGTGAGCCTGGCATCAGGGTTGCCAGATAAATTTAAAATGTCTTATTTACACACTCCTTTTGTTCAACAAACACAACACACACCTCATCTTAGAATATTTTTATTCAGCACATATGAGAGTTAAGGTCAAAATACTATAATTTTAAAGTGACAGTGCATAGATGGTTCACAAGTTCTTATCTGGCAACCCGACTGACATGAAAACTACAACGTTTTCCATGTAAACCTGCTCTCTTTTTTGTTTAATATCCCCAATAAACATTTAAAAAACCACTAACGTTTCCAGAGGTTGTTCTCGTGTAAGCAGGGCCTCAGTTTCACGTGTTTGTTCAGCCTGTGCAGGTGTGTTAATGTCCGTTCAAACAAAAGCCAGCCAAACTGCAGTTCAGATGAAGATGAAAATAAGCTGCAGATAGGGAAATGATAAACCGATAAGCCTCCATGATTTGTAATACAATTTAGGGCTGTAATCTCCCTGCCACTGCAGTGTGTCCCCAGCATTCTCTAATCCGGGCCCGTTTTATTCCTGATGCTGATGTCATGACCCCGCAGAACAATGAGCGAACAGACTCGTCCCACCCCAACCTTTTATCCACAACGTCCAAAGCCGTCAGCTGTAAATGGAGATTGTGTTTATTTGTTTTCCTCACTGTTGCTCTTTAAATTAATTTATCAGACATGCTTATGAGATGAATTGATTTTTGACTCACAGCTGCACAGTGGTGCAGTTGGTAGAGCTGCTGCCTCTCAGCGAGAAGGTCGCCGAATCAAATCTCCTTTCTGGGTGGAGTTTGCATGTTCTCTCCGTGCATGTGTGGGTTTCCTCCGGGTACTCCAGTTTCCTCCCACAGACCAAAAACATGCATGTTAGACTGATTGGTAACTCTAAATTGTCCCAAGGTGAGAGAGAGAGAGAGAGAATGGTTGTTTGTCTCGTTTGTATCTGCGTGTCCCTGTGATGGACTTGAGACCTGTCCAGGGTGTCCCCTGCTTCTCGCAGGATGGATGGATGGATGGATGGATGGATGGATGGATGGTTGGATGGATGATTACTCATTTTAGGATTTTGCAAAGACCACTGTAAACACTTAAATAAATTGATTTTCTTTCTGTGGTGTGGGTCACATAGCAGTGTGTCAGTTTATTGTTGCAGGAAAAGTTTACTTTTAGATTTAATTTCATGCATTCAGTTTTTTTGACAAATGTAGAATAATTGAACAAAATGACATAAAACACTAAGTGCTGCTTTTGAGCAACTTCATTTTCTTCAGGATTAATTTTCACTCACACAAACACACACATTACCACATTGAATTAGTTAGGGGCTACGGGTTCTGTTGGCCCAGCACCATCATGGCCAGGACTCTGAGGTCTCCACTCGTCCGCAGGCCGGCGGTCACTCTTTCAGGGATGATTTTTAAGAACGAATAGATTGCACTTGCTTTTTAAATATCGTTTATTCACATTTGTCAGTTCTTCTGGATCGTGGTAACTCTCAGGACTGCCTAAAGTGGTCCATCAGCGGAAGAGAAGCACCTGGAGTTAGACAACGATCATAAACTGTCTGAAATTTCCCAGTTCAGTCAGAAAATGGTGAAATAATTGTGAAATTTGAGAGGGCTGTGTGTGGACTTTAAACTGGTGAGTTAGAATAGAAACTGGAGTTCTGAGCAGGGAACTGTGGCGGCTTTATTATAAATGTGTGAACATGTCTATCACAGACCACTGAAGATGTTTTTGTGTGTTTGTTTTTGCATTCGACAGTTTTTATGTGTCTCAAATGCTTAATGTGAAGCATATTTAGACTGTTTTTTTTTCTGCAGCTGAGCTCAAAAAGCCTGAGAGGGTCAGTCGGATCAAAAACCTCATAATCCTATTATAGAATTTGTGCCCACATGGATGAACTAAAGAAAAAGGCTTTAGAGGAATGAAAAAGGTGTAAAAGCAGAAACATGCGAAGTTAAAATGTTTCCTAATCTTTGGTTTGTCACTGAGTTGTAACATAAAGCATGAATTTAATTTTTATTTATTTTTCTTTATGTCCTGTCTCTTCTCCACACAGGACCGAGATCTACGACCAGAGGAAATGGAAGGTATGGAAATATTATAAGCTGAATCCAAACCCTCGTTTTGTTCCTCTTTCTCCTCCTGAATAACTTTCCTCTCAACCTTTCTCCTCAAAGTCTCAGTTCAGCACTTCATTATTTAAATTTATGAAAAGGATATTGATTTGTCTGTTTTCAATGTTTACTTCTTTTGTGTAAGATCAAAAGAGAGGATTATTTTTTATAAGCAAAATAGTTTTTTCACACTTTAAGCTTCTTCCATTCCTCCTAATCCTTGAGTCAGCTTCAAAGGTTTCTCCCTGCACTTCTGAATGTGAAATAAAACAATATATATATATATATATATATATGTATTAAGAGAATATTCCTGAACTACCTGACACATTATTAAATTATTGTGGGGAAAAAACTTATCGTGTAAGATTCTGGCATGCTACCGGTAAACAATTGGTGTAGTCGAACTGTAACTAACACAAAAAATGGGTACTATTCAAGTAGAAAAAATCTTTCACGTGGACTATTTTTATTAATAATTCTTAATTCTACCAGAAGAAACTCATTGAGATTAAAAATCTCTTTTACAAGAGTTCCTTGGCCAAAACTAGCACCTAACAACGTTTCATAAAACGAACTTTAACAATAACAACTAGAAAAATTGCATTTCCTGAGAAAATGCATTGTGAAGCTTATTGCAGCAGAACTTACTAAAGAACAGCTGAAATTAGTTAAAAACATGCTGAAATGAGGCTGAAATGAAAGAACTAGCCTGAATTAGCAGGAGAAAGCAGAAAGAACATATATTTGCTGAATTAGGTTTAAGTAAGAAGACATGAGCACAAAAATAGGAAATCAGCTAAGAAAAGCTAAAATTAACACCAAAAAATCCCCAAACAAACTAAAACATAGTCAAAAAAAGACAGAAAGAAGCTTAACCTACAAGAAGGAAGTGGAAAGATCTGAAATGAGCTAAAAAAAAAATTGTGGAATTAGCAGAAAAAGCTACAGTTAGCATAAAAACAGCTAAATAGTAGCTGAAATAACAGAAAATTCTGAAACTAGCCGGGGGAAGAAAAAAAAAAAACATAACGGAGCATAATAAGCTGAAATTAGTAGAAAGAAGTTAATTAGGCTGAAAGTAGCAAAAATTACCATGAAAAAAATTAAATTTATCTGAAAATATCTGAAATTAGGTAAAAAAAAAATTCTAAAAAGGTACCTGAAAAAGTGGAACAAGCCTAAATTAGAAGAAGAAAATAAGAAAAAATATGTTTTCCCAATTAGGCTGAAAGAAGCAGAAATGAGCACAAAAAGTAAAAATTATCTGAAAATGCTCACCTGAGCACAAACAGCTGAAAAGTAGTTAGAAAATCAGAACGGAGCTGAAATTACAAGGAAGTGGAGAGAGCACATTTTTGCTGAATCTGGCTGACAAAAGTTGAAATGAGTGCAAAAAATGTGGAAATAGCTGAAAAAGCTTAGATTAGCATACAAACAACTATATAGTAGCTGAAATAGTAGAAAAAGCTTAAACTAGCAGAAATAAGCTGAAAGGAGCAGAAAGAAGTTAGAAGAAACACCAAAATGTTGTAGTTAGCAGAAAGAATCTGAAAGGAGCACAAAACAGCTGAAAAAAGAGCTGAAATTATCTGAAAGTAGCTGGAAAAAAAGTGTAAATGTGCACATGAAATTGAAAGAAGCTGAAGCAGAACAAAATGTGAAAGGAGCAGTAAAAGGTTGTAAACAGATCTAAAGATTTGAAGGATGTAAAATGAGCTCAATTCATTTTCTATGAGAAAAAAAAGACAGAAAAGGCTAAATATTTCAAAAAGCTAAAGTTGCACCAATACCAAAAGTCATAGCAGGACTGTCCTGAAAGAGCTGAACATTTTGATTTATGCTTTGTTAAAATTGTTTGAAAACTGCGAAACGAGAACCGTGCCAAAGAATATACAGAAAAAATAAATAAAAATGTAAGAAAAATGGATCAGAATCGTGTGAACGCTTCATAAATATTCACACAATAAAGGAGGGCAACAAACATTTATGTGCGTTTGCATAGAAAACATACAGTAAACTATTTAATTTAACATTCAATAATTTGATTGATACCTTTTTGTTCCTTTTTTAATATTATTATGGCATCAGGCAAGGAAAAATGTATAACAAAACAATTTTATTTTATTTTAAATGGTTTAAAAAACAGTATTTTTTTGTTATTTGCAACAACACTGCTGTAATTATTAAGTTTTGTGCAAAAGCAAACTGTGCACTTCATCAATTAGCCATTAATTAACACAGGAAAGTTGTGCTGAATTTTTGCTTGAGGATCTTTTGCAATCGATGTTCGTCAGAGGCCATTATATATCCTTTTAGGTAATTTACATGATTATTATTTTACAGAATGTTGCAATAGGTAGATAACTGGTCATTTAGATAAAGCCATTAAAGTTAAAATAATAATTTCCTGTTTGTTTAAAAAAGTATCTTATGTGCTCATCCACACATATATGGGGTCCAGTTTGAAGCCACCAGTATGAGCCAACCATAAAAAAACAGTTTGGGGCAGTAATCACAGTGAATGTCCTTATTTTCTACTATATATATATATTTTGTATTACTCCTGGATTTAGCTATTTGTTTCTGGATAATTTAAAATTTTCATTGTACTTTTTCTCATCTGCAGAACTGCGTGAGGCCTTCCGGGAGTTTGACAAAGACAAAGACGGCTTCATCAGCTACAAGGACCTGGGCGAGTGCATGAGGACCATGGGCTACATGCCAACTGAGATGGAACTCATAGAACTCAGCCAGCAGATCTGTGAGTCCATTAAACACAGAAAACACCCACCTCCAATACAGAGGTGCAACAAAATGTCAAAAGGCCAAAACTGTCTATTTTTCCTCCTTGATATAATATTATTTAGAATAATTCACGTCATATTCACATTCCAAATATCCCTGTCTGTGCTGGCTTTTCTGTGTGAACAGTTCTGTTCTTATCTGAGTGACAGGAGTTTTTGTGTTAATGTTGGTAATAGTGTATTTGCTTCAGTGCATCTTTCCTGTGGGGTTCCTCAGGTCTCGATTCTTGGACCCCTTCTGTTTTCAATCTATCTGCTTCCTTTGGGTCTATCCTGAGGAAACACGGTCTTCTTTTTCACTGCTATGCCGATGATTCTTAGATTTATCTGTTGTAACTGTTTGTTTAATTCTTAGATTCATCTGTTGTAAAACCCAATAGTTCTTGCTCCATTCACCCTCTGTTAAAATGTCTCATTAAGGCATGAATGGCTTTAAATTATTTCAAGTTTTAATGATCAGAAGACTGAAGTCATTGTGTTTAGCCATAGCTCTACTGCTGTCTATGTTCCTGTAAACTGTGACTCTCTTCAGCCATATCTTAAGAAGTCTGTTACAAATCCCTGGATGGTTTTAGACTCTGACTTTAAGTTTAATAAGCAGATTAATTTTGTTCTGCAAATAAACTTCTTCCAGTTAAGGCAGATGGCTAAACTTAGGTCGGTGTTGACCAGATCGGACCTTGAAAAAATAGTCCATGCCTTCATTACTATCTGACTGGACTACTGTAATGCACTCTATGTTGGGGTCAGTCAGGTCTCTCTTTCAAGTCTCCAGCTCATCGAAAATGCTGTCGTTCAGTTCTTAACAGGAACTCATAGGTTTGATCATATCTCACCAGTTTTGTTCTCCCTTCACTGGCTCCGTGTGCATATCAGAATTGATTTTAAAATCATCCTGCTGAATTTAAGTACCTAATTTGCTGTGCACCCTCATATCTCTCTGAGCTACTTCAACCATATGTTCCTTCTCAGGTGCTGAGATCATATGACCAGCTGGTTTGGGTTGATCCAAAAACCAGACTGAAGCTCAGAGGTGACTGGGCCTTCTCAGTCTTGGGCCCTAATTTTTGGAACAATCTGCCCTCAACATTAGACAGACCACTTCACTCCTGCATTAAAATCTCTTTTTAAAACACGCCTGTTTTCTCTGGTTTTTAACACAGTGTGATTTGATTTAGTATTTTACAGTTTTATTTATTTATTTTTTCTCTCATTAAACTACGCCCAATGATTTGTATTGTTAAACACTTTGGTAGCAACTGCTGTTTTAAATGAGCTTCATGAATAAAGTTGACTTGACTTCTTTTAGGTGGTGGCAGAGTGGACTTTGAGGACTTTGTGGAGCTGATGGGTCCCAAAATGCTCGCCGAGACTGCAGATATGATCGGAGTCAAAGAGTTGAGGGACGCCTTCAGAGAGGTTTGTATTATATCTGTACTTAAATTCAAATCTTTTTGTCTTCTTCTTTTTATTTTATATCAACTCTCTTGTTGCGCTCTAAGTTTGACTCTGATGGCGATGGTCAGATCAGCATCGGGGAGCTCAGAGAAGCCATGAAGAAGCTAATGGGGGAGCAGCTCAACCACCGGGAGATGGATGAGATCCTGCGAGATATAGACCTGAATGGAGATGGAGAGGTGGACTTTGAAGGTTAGTAATAATCAGGGTTGCAACAAAAATGATACGTTAAAAAAGTTAAATGTTTGTAAAGTTTATCACCAAAAGTATCTTCTTTAGAATGATTTTCCTTAAATTAGAGTGTCATTAAGTGGTATGGTTAAGGAACCAAAAGCAGGAGCTCAGTATAAAAACAAACTGATGAAATAATTTCATTTAACAGAACAGAAATCAGAAACTGAAATATCCTGAAGCACATGGAACAAATCCAGAAAGATCATGAACAGGAAGAAACAACGAAATGAATCTGTCCTTGAACAAAGTCACATGATGACCTGACGAGTTGGAGACAAGAGGAATGGAACCAACAACAAAACCTAGCAGACGTGAACTCATGGTGACTAGACTTGCTGAAACATTCCAGCCCTCCTGGATGACGCACCTAAAATAATTGAACTGGATGTTGCGTTGCTGCAGCGTGTCACACTTCACCAATCCCCTCCCCAGGGGAGAATAACAAAGATATTATGCATGTGCATTTTATTCTTGTGAATCTACACCTGTTTTTTTTTTTTTTTCTTGGGGGCTTACTACTAATTGAGCACATTGCTTATTCTGGGATTATTGATGGTGGTAGTTTATGAATATGTAATGCTGTGGAGGCTCCAACTCTCGTTGTTTTAAGAAAAGGAATAAAAAAAGTAACATAAAATTAATACTAATATAAGTAAAGCTCAGATACATTATCCAATCCAACAGGGGGGTGGTGGTGCAATGTTTAGAGAAGGTGAGCCTGTGATTGGAAGGCCGCAGGTTCAACTCCCCGGACCATCCATTATCTTTTACCCGCTTCTTCCGTTTCCGGTCATGGGGGTCACTGGTGCCCATGTCCAGCCATCACTGTGTGAGAGGTGGGGGACACCCTGGACAGGTCTCCAGTCCATCACAGGCACACATAGAAACAAATGAGACAAACAACCATTCACTCTCTCGATCACACCTTGGGACAATTGAGCCAATCAGCTAAACATGGCAGCTCTCTGCTCCACACAGAGGGCTGTGGCAGCTCAGTGTTCTGTAGTTGCTTCAGGAAGGGCATCCAATGTAAAAACTATTGCTAAGTATTTGTGTGAGTTAGTTTGTTGTGGTGACCCTTGAAGAAGAGAGCAGCCAAAAGAAGAAAAAAAATACTTTATCCAACTCAACATGATTTATTCAGAATAACAATCCAGTTCAATAACAATTCAGCAGACTAAATAAAATTTAATTTTAATTTGCTTTTGTTAAAAAAGAAGAGCTCTGCTCCATAATGAAACAAAAGACTCAGTGCTTGACAGCTGTGGAACATGTAACTAGAATTAACTAACATCTAACCAACATTAACTAATATCTAACTAACATTAACTAGCATGAAACTAACATTAATTAACATGTAACTAACATCTAACTAACCTTATGTAACATCTAACTAATATTAACTAACATGTAATTAACATTAACTAATATCTAACTAACATTAA